ACATATATTAAATATTATAACATATTCAAATAGGTTTAAATAGCATAAAATGTAAGAAAGGAAACATTAATTAATTTATCTACTGTTTAATAATATATTTATCTATGCCCCAAACGTAAGTAATCTTGTGGATCTTCTTTCTTTTTGGCGGACTTGTCCGGGTGGTTAGGGTGCTCGAATCTCCGTCTCACCAAAAATGTTCGCCCTTTCAGCCGTGACGATCAGTCTCACTATTCGTTAGTAAAATAGTAGCCCAAGAGTTGCCGGTGGGTGGTGATGACTAGCTGCCTTCCCTCTAGTCTTACACTGCTAAATTAGGGATGGCTAGCGCAGATAGTCCTCGTGTAGCTTTGTGCGAAATTAAAAACAAACCAAACAATCTTTCTTTTTATAATATTTGATACTTTGATTCTCTATTTTTATACCTAGTGCATTGTACTTATTTTTTGAATAATTCAATTTGAAATTTAAAGAAAAATGAACAAGTATCTCTATATTTTATTTGTTAAGGTGTAACTCTGAGTCAATTGACATGATTTTAGTATATTCTAATTTAAGCCTGATTTTTGTTTACTTATAACTTATTTTGAGTTGCTTTATATTACTATTGAGTTTGGGTTTTAACTGACTGTTTGAGCCTCGGTGTTTCACATTATGTGTAGGTGTCATAGCATCAAGCATGTGATCGGCAAAATTTGTAGTTAACTTGATAATTCGGCCTTTAACATCCAATTTTAAAGTTTGGGTAAATATACACCTGGAAAAAAGTTAAGCACCCCCGTGTTTTTTTCAAGTGATTCAGATTCGACGTTCTTGTGACTGATTACAAATTACCATTCAATCTAAACGTGTTTATCAAATGAAATTATGCATTATTGGGCACAAGAAAACAAGATTATCACTGTAAAATAACAATTTTTAATTTACATATCATGACATCAAAATATGGACAGTTTTCACGCATAAAATTATCTTTAATAAGTATTGTCAGTGAAAGCTCAAAA